GAAATATTCCCCTAAAGTTTCAACTTTCTAGCTTTTCCTTTCCGCGGGTTAGTAACCTTAACAGGTTGTGCTTGCGATTCTCTGCAGAATATTGACAGTGAGCTTGATGTCCGGTGTGGGGAAGCCTTTCGGGGCTACTCACGCTGGGCTCAGTTCACTTATACTAGGGAGCCTATACGGCAGCCCAACGGGACTATTCCTCAAGACGGCCTACGGGCCCCGTCGCCCGAGACCTTGATACAACAGTATGAAGTTACCGGTCCCCAGTACTTGGAAGTGGCAGCATTACCACATGGAATCGCCGAAGCTTTGACCATGTGACTTGGACAACATTCGTTTTCGCCCAGGGGACCTAATGAGAAGACCTAATTGAAACAACGCTTTACATCTGTGTGGTTGAGATAAAGCTGAAGACCGAAAAGTGCTTAGAATTTGCCAGCTGATGCTTTGATGTTGAGAAGAGATGCCAGCTAAACTAGCGAAGTATCGAAACAGGCATTATTTCGAATTTTGAAATATGACAAACATTTGGAAGACCCTGGATATGCTACAAAAAAAATTCCACATTTTTCAAGCAGCAGTGGTATTGCATTTCTGAGTAACTGGGGATTACCCGTAAAAAGTATCCAAAAGGGATGCTACGAACAAAAAATCATTGCAAAGAGCCTGGCAAATAACCTCAGTCCAATTCCATCACGTTCCCCAAAAACAACGGTCACTTTCTGGTCGACAATATCGAGAACAATATCAAGCGGGTAACTGAATGTCTTTTCGACGGTTGCGCAATCGTCCTTGCTATCCCAGTCATAGATGAGACTGCCCGCTCGATTGATTATAAACACATGCTGTACCAGCATTGCATTTGCTTTTTGATCCTACAGAAATTCAGCAGCTGAAAAACCATGCAGCGATGGCCAGGAATGCGCAAAAACGGCGTACATATTCGGTTCTTTGAAAGTACAGGGCTTACAGAGTAACGCATGCAACCAGAACGCCTTGTACGAAGGGAAAGGAGCAAAAAACACAACAATGGACGTAAAAATCCAATTGAAGATTAAGGATGAAATCAATTGAAGCTGCTAATCCGTCTTAAAAAAGCAAATCAGAAGCCTGGAGAAACAAAATTTAACAAAAAAAGACCAAAAAATATCATGTTTAAGCAAATCTTGTTATGCGTTTTTTGCAGCAATGCAATGCGAAAAACGCATATTGACGAGAGGTTGTCTGTGTGTGTGTTGTGCGTGTGTGTGTGCGCTGCGCGTCTGTACCGATTTTTATGCGTTTTGTGCTGTGTAACAGCCGCGTTTTTTGCAGCTATGCAATGCAGAAAACGCATATTGACGAGAGGTTGTCTGTGTGTGTGTGTGTGCGTGCTGTATGTGTGTGTGTTTGTGTGTGTGTCTGTGTGTGCGCAGCGCGTCTGTACCGATTTTTCATCTCATGTCTGTGTGTCTGTGTGTGCGCTGGGCCTCTGTACCGATTTTTCATCTCGAGACCGGCAAAAGCTACGGCTGAAAAACTTTGGGGACATAATCTGAGCACGTTCGAGCCCCCATCCCCAAAATTGGCGCCAAAACCCGCGTGGTACCCGCGTACGGGCCCCCTACGCGCCCCTATCCCCAAAATGGGCGGTCTTCCCCGCGTGGTACCCCCCGTAAGACCCCGCCAGGGGATGTTTCCTGACAGTTCTGGCGGCCAGTCTGAAATTCTTTCAGCTAGAAACATCTGCCGAATAACCGATGCCGGTAGCGACAAAAACTTGCGGGGAACTCTGCAAAAAACGCATCTTCGCACGGGCAGCCCGTGCGTTGGCCATTTATAGTTTTTAAGGCATCGTGCTCCCGAACTGCAAATGTTCAGAACATGGGGTAGTGATACTCAACGAACACCAAAAATTACCTCAGGACAGTTAAATTTTTGCCAAGCACTTCTGCAAGGAGGATCGCTATGATATATTTCCTACAAAAGACGAAACAAATGTTAGGACTGCCAAAAAGTTAACCGCTAGACAATGCAGCTTTGGTCAAAGCAGATGGAAAAGTTGCTGTAGTCGATCCAATAGCAGGGTGCAGGTTGGCGGGGAGGAAAACGGCGAATGTAGCTAGCGGTT